TGCTCGTTTTCTACCATTTTTTTGTCACATGCGCGCTTCAGGGAGAAGGCAGCCGACGGCATTGACGGAGTGACACGTTCAAACTGCCTGACAGACGAAACCTTCCGCAGCGAACTAGAGTGTATATTAAGTTCCACCTTGGTTCCCACCTTTCTTATACCAGTGGTTTAGCCTTACGTTGCTGTGTTGGTGTAAATGGCCTTTTGGATGTAGCAGTTTTTACTTACAAATAGATATTGCTATGAGAAAGGAGAAACGCTGCTAATATTATTTACGATTCCTGAACTGATCCTCTGGTTTTCCGTTATTCATCTTTCGAGAATGTAAATCTGCTTATATTAATTGCTTAAATTCCTATCTTATTGAAAATCCGCTTTATCGTAGAATCCTCATCCGCCCATTATATGTGTTATAGGTGTTCAGCTATATAGGGATACTTATGGCTCCAAGCATATGAGACGCACTCAGAGCGAAACCTTCACTCAGCAGCAAGAAGACCCTAACGGTTTCACGGAAGGCAATGTTGTTCCACATGATTCGTCCGTGTTGATGTCGAAGTACGTGTAACTTAGAAGCTCGCGAAAAGTTCTGATTGGAAAAATGCACAGTATGATGCTGTTGCTGTAATACAACTGCAAAACATTCAAATTTATTACTTGGTCTTGCTTGTGTAAATACCCTTCGTAGCTTCTCAACGTTGACCTTGATTAATTGAAGCATTTATCTTAGTCTGTCGACACATGCTTTTTCTTTTCAGGGCTACTGCTCGGCATCTGCTTTCATTTTCCCAAACGTCATCGTCTTTCAAGAGAGGACTCGAAGAAATGGTGTCCTATTTTGAGGAGGATGACGGTGCCTGTGAGGTTTGCGTTACGTTCCTAGTTTTACATTTGTTGTAGTTCTTTTTTTAAGTACTCCAAGAATTTTTGGTGTGGAAATAAAAATATATAGGTGGGAAGGAAAGTCTTGTCTTAGTTGTGACTTTTTTCTTTTCAATTTTCTAACTTGCGAATTAATCAACAATATACTCGTCATGGTTAGCCACTGCAGTGCTCTACCAAATGGGCAGATTCCTTCTGTCTCAGAACAGGAGGCTGCGAGTAGTAGGTCAGCGGCCTCTCGACTGTTGTCGTCAAAGTTCCTGGAATTTCATAGAAAAGAAGGTCTTAAGAAGATGAAGCAGTAGGGGATTACGTCAGGAGAGTACGATGAGCGGGGTTTGGTCTCCCAGCCTTGCTTCTCAATTATTTAGTAGGTCTTCATACCAGGTATGGTCTCGCGTACTATGAAATGAGGTGCTCCGAAGCTAGTTTCGGTCATTTTTCTCCAACAACTTCCACCGGTTTCAGGAGCTGAGCGACACAAATGGTAGCGGTGATCGTGTGTTCTTACAGGGCAGCTCGTTCTGCAGCATCCCCCTCGCGTCCCAGGAGCACAAAGGAACCATTTCGGATACATGCCCGGTTTGGAGTGCCAGGATCTCCTCCTCGAGAGAGATACACGGTACTGTGTGGGTTGAAATCACAGAGGAAACATCTGTCATCCTCATAAGAAGTGTCACAGAAACATCTTCTGACTAGGGCGGAGAAGGGGAGACTTACCAAGGGGTACACGGGTGCGTAGCGTGCCATCGGTCAAGGTATGAGTGATCCATCGAGCCAGTACTTTTCGGTAGTCAAGGGCTTACAGGCGGTTGACGACTGTCAGTTAGGTACATCCGAGTCTTGTCGCAAGACTGCGGGTGGTAACCTCCGGATCCTCCTTGACAGCTTCGAGAATGGTGGAGTCTTCCACTTCGTGGGCCGTCCCAACCGAGGTTTGTCTTCGAGGGTCGTGTCTCCTTTCGCGAAGCGAGCAACCAAAGGTGGACAGTCGTGTGGTAGTGGTGTCCTCCGCCAATGCACTGCTGATGTTGCGGACAGCTGCCGCTGCTCCAGTGCCGCGGGCCACTGATAGAACATGATGACCCGAAGATGCTCCTGTGAAACTGACATCGTAATTAGACCCAGGAAAGTGCAGGCGCCTCAACAAACTCTTGCAGGAAAGCTCCTAGGATGTTCTGCAAGCATGGCATGTTATGTTCGAGCATCAATAACCGAAAAGTGTAGGTTTTTCAAAAAACACTGACGGGATTTTCCTTGCAGCCTAATATTTCGAGCACTTTATAGCGAATTTCATTCTATAACCATTCCTTAATTTGTGTGTTTCCCAAGTACCTCAGTGGTGAATTCTGATGAAAGTGTTATGCTCCATCAAAGTGGAAGTTGTTATTCTTGTCCGCACCCACTTGACACTTCCCCATTTACGTCGAATCTCCCTTCTTCTTCATCCATTTCTTCGCTTCCAGGCCCAGTTCCAATATCCTGAGTCCACAAAGCCGTCGCCTGTGATGTCATCTACTGCTTGTAAGGTTATTTTACTTTTTTCAACAAATCGTTCGTTTTCGCTTTGCCTCTCGCCTGCTGGTCGTCCAATCCCGTTTGCTTTTTTGAGCGCTAAACAGACGTTCAGCTGTTCTGTAGGTCATAGTTGTAGGATATTCAACCTTTTCAACCAAGTGCAACTCAAGATTCTAATCGTTATTTCTAGTGATGATTTTCTTCCTCATTTTTGGTGTAATTTAGCTCGACTTCGCTTAGTTCTTTTCCTCCAAATTCTACCGGAAGCTCAGAGATTTTCCCAGCATCTTAATTTTAACAGTAGCACTTTGTGAAATTCAAGAAGTTTTGGTGCTGATTCTGCACTCTTGACCCTTCACTACCCCGGTCTTCCGGAGTGAGGCTAACTTCACCGCCTTTTTTGTGGGCAGATTTTGGCTAAAAATTTGTGTTCAAGTGTGGTTTGATCTCCTCTCGAATATCACATCTGCATTGGGTGCCAAGAGAGTTAAGGATGGACGGAAGGGGGTACACGTGACAGTGCAGTGTGCTGCGATTGCAACATTCCTCGAGGCAGTGATTCCGCCTTCTACTAATGCTGAGCTTTGCGAAAGGGATCGAGGGATCGCTATTGCTGACAACCAGAGGGGGTACTTTCTTGTCTGGCCGTTGCACGAAACAAGCCACGATTCCGCACTGAGAGCAGACCGGAGTCAGAACATGCATGTTTTGCCGACCTATGTGACGCAGGTGGTCAGCGATTCGGTACCAAATGAACGTGATGTACTTGTTCAGGGAATCGGCGATCGATTTATCCGCTGCGGCAAGATTCTAAGGAATATGGTGGCTTAGCATACTTTCGCGCCGTGCCTGTGGCGTGGACGCCGGTTACTCTTAGGCCAAGCGAATGTGATGTTCATATCAGAATGTCAAACTACCCTTGGAGGCAAGTTTCCAGCCGAATGTGTCGGAGGAAAAAAAAGGCTGTAAAAACTGGCTTGTTTAGAAAACTAGGGCAGTAGATATCGCCGTTGATTCGATTGCTGAATTTCACAAAGTAGCTTGTAGAAATATTTTCCCCATTTTGCTAATCTAGGCTCATTTTGGTTTTACCTTTTAACGATCATTCACTTTCCGTAAGAGTTTCTCTTGGTCGGTGGGACTAGTAAACATTTGCCTAATTCTTTTACATATATTCGATTTCTGCAGTGAGGGTAAATTTTATCAGTTTTACAGCCATACCTCCAACGAACTTAAAGCGTGAGTCCATAGAATCTGCCGCATCGGGGAATATGATTGAGATGATGGTGAAATCGTATGAAGAAATGCTTGAGAGAAGGCGGCTTTTTTATTGTCCAAGCTCGATTCGTGATATTCTCGGCGGTACAAAACCTGTGAGTCAGTTCTTGTAGAACAGTGAATTTTAAAGCTTTTAAAACATTTTGTTAGGAATCTTATTCTCTAATGTAATGGCAAACGGGCATTTATAGACGGTGAGACCTGCCTGTTATTTCGGTGAGAGGGTTAGACGAGATCGTTTGCGTGTGGATATTGCGTTGTTAGTGGAGTTTCTTAATTCAATCTCTCCATTCCCACATCTGACCTTGGACGATAAGGTACGACTTCCTTGAAAACCAGTTACTCTGGGAATATTCAGTACTTTTTCCAGGTAGCTCTCATGAAAAAATTCTCCGTGTCCTTCTCCATTCTCGAAAAGTACTATATTACAATGCGAGTTGGAGGATTACAAACTAACAGGTTAATACATATTTATGCTCTTCACGGTCATTATATGCGGTATCTTCAGTTTTTTTTTTCAGGATATTTCACAGTGATGGGACTTACTCGGATTTAGATGATCCAGATTCAATAGCAAAAGAAGCTAATAGAGTGGCAGGTGGAGGTGTAGATCGTAATACTTTGAACAAGTGAGGTTATAAAAAAATTTCACACAATTTCTCCTCTGTTCGCAAGGTCAACATATCGATTCAGACTGTTCATCCAGTCATTGAAGGATTTTCTGTTGGAATTATCTGTACCTATGTACCACAATAAAATGACTGATGTCGAATTTTGTGCGCTGAACGCCGTGCTGCTATTTGATCCAGGTTCGTCTGCTGCCAATTTTTTTGTAAAGCGTGGTTCTCTTTGATATATTTAACTTCTTTTGTGCCTTACGAGCTTGATAGCTGGAACACTTGTTCAGTAAGTCCTCACCTTCTCACTGAACAGTCGCCTTCAGAGGCCAGCGGTTCCACTGTTTGAGCGGAAAAAGACCGCTGGCACACGAGAGCCTTGGGTAATTGCAAAGACTCATTGGTCAGAAATCAATATCCTCTTCATATGTATATTCAATATAACGTTTCAGCTGCTCCTGGGCTTAGTGAAATTGGTCGTCATATTGTGCGAGAAGCTCGTGACCACGTGTATGAGGACTGGTTCGAACTTTATCGCAAAATTGGGGTGGAGGATATTGGGCAAAGAGTCGGCAATACAATGCTCTTGTTGCCTGCTGTGCAGGTGCTTTTTTGGTGTTTCCAGCCCTAAAACACCTTTTTACTAATGTCGTGCTCTTTACAATGTTTTCATTTGCAGACCATTGTCGACACTACGCAGGAGAACTTTCGATTGATTCAGGTTTTCGATCTGTTTCAGTACGACAAAATTCTCGATGAGCTGATGTATTTGGATCATTAGCCCATTTCTTCATCACTATTGCTTTCACATTTTGTGTACAAAGTTTTCCTCAAGTTTTCTACAGCGTTACATCTAAATGACTGTTTTAACAAGGTTTCTACTCTTTTTCTTATCAGAATTTATTTATTTATTTATTCTGCGCCCCAGAATCTTCAAGCAAATCGTCCATATATCTATATGGAATGAACAGCTTACTGTTATTAAACTTTTTGGATTTAGCATAGTAATACTCCATGACAGAAAGCGTAAGATCTGCCAGTAGTGGACTAAAATTGCCACCTTGTGGGACACCTTTAGTCTGCTTTGAACGTATTATTAGCAAAAAGACAAAAACTGTTACGTAAAAGATAGTCGATAAGGTATACTAAATCGCTGGATTTGTAATATCTGTAGTTGCTCTTAATTTCTTTACCATCTGTATAGAAAACATGGTAACCATTAGTGGCAATCAAAGGATCTGTTGGCATTCTTGAAGCAAATGTTAAGAAGTTCTTGCATTTTCTTTATAATGAAGATCATGTTCTAAATTTGTGAACATGTCCGTGAAATCCGCAGTGTAAATTTTGAGATTGTCGAATGGGATGTTGTGTAGTTCTTGACTTATATTAATATTACTAACATGATTTGAGCGCTTTCAGTATTGGTAGTAAAAGAAGTCGCTCAAGAGAGCATCTGGGGAGGGAATCGTAAGAGCCAAAATGTCAATTCAGTGATAATTTACTGTGATTGCTGTGATTCAGCCTTACTTGCTTGTTCTGGGTGATAGTCAAGGTAATGTTATCAAGAACAACAGCAGCAGCTGAGTTTTTCCTTTCGACTGTAGCTCTCCTTCTGACTTTTTCTACACAATGGAGAATTACTGAGAACACTGAGAAGTAAAACATTTCAAAATATTGCTTATGGTGTTCAGTTTGTCAATGTTTTTCACTGTATTTTTTTTCGTTCACCTCGGGCGCTGTCCCAATATGTGATAGTATGTGCTTTACTTCTTTAATAAAATTAGTCGATATGTCTTTGTCAGTGTACTCGAATGTTAAATGTTCAACTGCGTGTAAGCGCTAGATATCACGCGGCTTTTTTATGAAGTAAGCTTCGGATCTGTATTCAAATTAGTTAAGGATCCGATCATGAGCTGATCGACCAGGATGGCAGACGCGGTAAGGCAGGTTAGTATGATGGCTGTTTCACCGCTTGTTTTGTGTCTACAAATTTAGGGAGAACATGTTTTGAATACAATGAGTCGAAACGCCAGCCCCTCTGAAATCTAGTCCATATTGAGTAAATTACCACCTAACAGTCCTTTGAAGATAAACCCTGCGGTTGCATGTGGATAGTGGCATTGAATTGCAAATCTGTTGTCGCTAAGTGACTCTCCAGGGAAAGAAAGCAAACAGTCCTGGAGAGCACCGTAAGAACGGATCTCGGTCGGGCCTCACCGTTCTTCGGACCCGCTAGTTTTTTGCCAGCAAAGCCATATCCTGCCTCCTTTGGCTCACTAATCGTTACGTGGGTCAGTGCTAGTACCATTAGACATTAGAGCTGGGAAAGAAAAACGAAAAACGCAGTGCAAAAACTGAGCTTGTGACAGCAAATAGCCCTTGCGTTTTGGTGGTGTTGCAACTAGGGGACGTCACATATGCCTATGTGGGGTGTAGCGCCTTCGTTACTGAATGTGAAGCCACAAAGGCAGGACAGTCTTAAAGATTACTTGGACAGAAAAGGACGCCTACCAGCTGGTTCAGCGCAAAGAGTGTGTTCATTTCTGCGTTCATACTTCGCGACGAGAGCGATTCATCAATTAGGCTGATCGCATTCAGTGCATTCGTTGGACTTCTGTGACAATATTTCCATTTCGAATGGCTCAATATGGCCGGTGCAGCCGCCCATCGAGTAGCGCTAGGGCACAGTCCGTCGAGGTTGTGCGATTCCCAAATCGCCTATGTAATAGCGAACTATGAATTACAATGAATACAATTACAGCACCCATGCTACTACCCTATCGACTCATCATAATAGTTATTGCGAAAACTAACTGATATGGCTGTTGGTGGAATACTTTGACCAGTCGGATCGTCCGGCTGACGTCGTACTCTCCTCCTTCCTTTTAGCTGGCTTGGCTTCGCCAGGCGCACTTCATACTGGAAACGGAATTTGTTCATTTATTTACTTAGCTGCTCATATGGCGCTGTTTTGATCGAATCTTATCGTATAGATGGTGCAGTTCGCGCGCCCAGCTCAAGTCTAGCTGCCACGCGAGCAGCTTGCAATGGCTCGGAGTGCTTAAAATAATTGTCTTATAAAATTGAATGTATCAGCACAATCGAAACAACTTTTTAGTTCCTTACTTTATTATGGATTTCCTTGCAGTTTTGCTAGCGATTGAGTCCTCCTCTCTTTCTACGTGCTCAAGCGTGCACTACCCCCCCCCCTTGACCCTACCCCTTCCCCCGCCTCCCTCCACTGCACGTGTTCGGGTCGGGCTGAGCACGTGCAAAGGGAGGAAGCAGAGGGGATAGGTCGCTTGGTACTGCCCCCTCCCTCTTCACCCCACCCTGCCCCTCACGAGCACACGTCTTCTTATCACGCGAGCAGCTCGTGCTCGGAGTGTACCAAATGGTTGTCTTATATAGCGGTGGCTGTATCACAATCAAAACATTGGATTGATACATCTGCACCAATCGGTTTCCGGTTTGCTAGCGGTCGTTTCTCCTTCCACTAATTCGAACCCGTGAAGCATTTTGCGGACGGACAGACATACATACATACAAACCGACACACAAATTTACTGGTTTATAAAATGAAAGGATTTCAGGGGTTCATCTGTCCATTCTGTATGACAGATCTCGGTGACTTCCCACGTCTGCAGAATCATGTCGATTCTGTCCATCCCGAAAGACAGCAGGACCTTACTGACACTGTGATCGACAATGTGAAAGGTGTAATTTTTGTTTACTTTGCAAATTGAATGCCGTTGTAATTTCGAGATATCCGGGCCACAATGTGCAAAAGTGTGCAGTGGTCCTCTTGATTATGTTCATTCATTCGGTTATCACAAGGGACTTTATTGTGGTAAAAAAATGAATATTCGTAGCTTCTAGGATTTTTCGACAAAGCAAAGAGGAGTATGAAGATCCTTGACGCAAAGATGAGTGCGGAACTGTCCCAGGTAGCTAAATCGTTATTGGATCAAATTTTACGGAACAGTCATTACTCATTAACTTTTTTCCAGGTGAATATCGGGGTTTCCAACAGTGTCGCCGATCTAGCATCCATGGCCTCTGCTGTGCAGGAAAAGGCCAGGCCTACCCGCCCTCCTGTTGTGATTCGACCTCCACCCGTGCGAGCTGAAATAGGTATGAAAAAGATTTCTTTTGGTTTTTTTGGGCGTAATCAATAATATTTCTTTTCAGGGGTTACTAGGTCACAAACGGAGTATTTCCGTAAAATTCGCGACTCTTCAGTAAATGAAAGTGCAGTCAGGACGAATATGCTGATCATACGACTAGATCGACTCATCAATGAGTGCCCTTGTGACCCCTCCAAAAGGAAAGGTGAGGCGATTGTGAGACTGATTCATGGTTCCTTATCATGATTTCTATTAAGAATTTGAGCGGGAGGTAGTTCCATGGTCTGCTGATTCCGAATCATTGCACTGTACTCGATGTGCTGCCAAATTTGGAATTGCCCGCCGACGGCATCATTGTCGACTTTGCGGACGAGTGATGTGTCATCAGTGTAGCCACTTTCTTTCATTTCTCTCAGCTAGTTAGTAGTTCAGATTTTCTTTGGGTGCGTTCACACTTTGCGACAGCGTCCACTAGCGACCACTAGCGAGCCCTACGTTCTGAGCGTCCGTCAGCCGCAGCGACTAGGAAAGCATAGATATTGATCTAGCGAAAAGAAGCGTCTAGCAGCCACTAGGAACGTGTGATATCAATCCAGCGTCCACTAGCGTCTAGAGGTGGAAAGTTTGGGGAAGTAGGAGAGGAGCAGACACGTGGATTAGGCGATATGAAATTGCGGCATCCGTAACCGCACATTACAACTGTTTAAGCACGGAATTATGCAATCTTGATGTACGAGGTAGTGCAGTTGTGCGGTTGCGCACGCAGCAGTTTCACAATGCCTAATTCTGCTGTCTGCTCCCTCCTACTTCCCCATACTCTACGAGCATTCTGCTACCCTCTCACTTCACCATACTCGTACACTACTGGGTGCTGCTGGGCGCTGGTCGACGCTTGCGGACGCTGGTGTTCGCTAGATCGATATCTCCACGTTTCTAGCTTAGTCACTGGCGCTGTCGCACGCTCGGAACGCTGGTGGACCTGTGGAGTTTGACGCAACCATGTAAAACTACGGCTCCAAATCACGCCTTTCTTACATGCCGTTGCTTTTCAGGGAAATTGACAAATCCCGCGTTGGCTGCCGAGATGCTGAACAACGATGGCACTTCCGCGGCACCAGAAGCGTCACCATCACATAGCCGTCGATTGTTGGAAATGACACAGAAAACGACCGGAAAGGTGATCTCGTTCATTGAAGGAGCCGTTTCCAAGATCCAGACGGCGGACGGCAGTGAAGTCAGTCTCGGCTCCCTACTCCAGCAGGTAGACCAACGTCGCCTCGATAACCCGTCACTGTTGTTATGTGCACGGGATGATGTCGTGACGTGCTGATGGATGGTGGTGTTTCTCTGTTGTTTGTGGGTGTTTCGGGTTTTGGTTGCGTTGGTTTAACTTCACCTTTTACTAATTTCGCTTAGCTCTGCCTGCTTTTAGTTAACAGTTGACGAAAGTTGCTACATCAGCTTAAAAATTGTTTTTGAAGGATGCGCATGAGTGTCTACGAATTTGTGGGTCATGTATGGCGGATCTGAGTCGACGGGAGCAGATGATGGAGCAACGAAATCCACCTGCACTTGCCGAGCAGTACGAAACCCTCGATCGGATGATTGCGGAAGCGTCCGCTATGGTACCGAGTTACACGCGGATGTCCGATAGCATCAAGTATGTGCTGGGATATTTGTTTGTTTCTTTTCAAAGGGACTAAAGGCGAGGTGATATGACCCCTCTATCTCACCCATCTTCAAAAGCGAATCGTGCTGTATAAATTGAGTGTCATGAATATAGCACATCAGAGCTGCTACGAAGGAGGCGGAAAGGTGCGCCGCGACTAATGTAGTATGCGCGCACGCATAACAACCCAATTGATTTTATACTGCAATGCGATGTGCCAAGTTAAGTTACCAGCTGGGAGATACTTTTCGAGTCCGTGGGCGATGCCGAGACTCGTATGTCGTGTACTGTTGTTATTCAATTCTCAGATCAAATAGTCTGCCTCATAGTTAGGGAATTCAGGGCATGGCTTTTCGGCTTTTGATATTATCGAGTTCCAGAAGGGAATAAGATAGAATAGAAGAACTATGCTAGACCAGTCGAGTATTGTGACCATGCTTCGTCAAGCCTCTTTTATTGGTCGTTTCGGAGCAGCGTTAAATAATTGTCGGATTGCGTGACTAGGGATAAAGCTGGGTCAAGTGCATGACGATTGTTGTCTGCCGCACTGGGAAACTTCAGCCGTGTACATCGTCGGTTTAGTCCCATCGGAGCGGAGGGTCGTCTGTTGCTCGGGAGAGGGGGGGGGGTTATAGCGAGGGTCAGCCAGTATTGAAGAACAGGGAAATGAGAGATAGTAAAGCACCTTACAAGACCACTGGGTCACTTCGGCTTGTCGATGCGTTATGTATAGCTTAACCCTTCCAACATTTTTAACCATCCTAGCGTGGGAGTAGTGAGATGCTTACATGGGGGAGATCACATGGGATAGTTGCGTTCTCAGGAAGTTGTGGTCGTTCAAAACATGGTAGCTTGCATATGTTTTCGATCCACATCAAAAACCTATCTTAGATAGTTCTTGAACTGGGGAAGATTCGTAGAAAGTCTAGCACAGTCACAAAAGTGTACGCTTAATACTCTACGAAGGTATTTTCCCTACAGCTGTTCAGACAAAGGGCAGATGTCGTCCTGAGAAGGATAAGCGATAAAGTCTTCGCCAGATCAATCCCCGTGGGACGGCACGCATTCTACTTCCATTCAGACATAGTGGTGTGGCCTATATAGTGACTGGCGGAGGCCAGCCGACGTAGAAGTCAGTGTTATTATCCTCCCAGACGAACCTGATACCTATTACCGTCCCCTGGGTTAGAAGACGGAGTTAGCCTGGGCTTGAGTGACCCGGAAATTGAACCCCGGACCCGAAAGGTAAGCGCGTCACTTGTCACTACACCACTACCTGCTGTCCTGAGAGGGATCACTCAAGAAGAAATTGCTCCATCACGGAGGTAGTATTAGGCGCGACGGATTCAATTTGACCAAAGCTGAAGAGGAAATTCCTACGTCTGTTCCAAGAGCTTCCGAACGTTGTTAGGAGTATATTGGCTACTCAGGAACTGTTGTTTTCAGGGCGCAAACGGAGAGACCATGTACACGTTAGCAGCCGCTGAACAACTGCGCAGTCGACTGTTACAGAAGCAGCGTGATATCGACAATCTGAGGTTGGTGAATACTGATGTCTAGGGTCCAGAAATCACTTTTCAAAAGTTCATATTTGATTTACAATATGTGGAAGACAGCACTAAAAGAGCACCATTTCCAGCCAGAGCATTGTTGCGGAAACAGAAAACGAAAACTGTGGTGTAAAGGAGGCTCAGCTAAGGAAAAACATCCGATTTGCGTGTGTGCAAACCTTGCAGGTACTTTTTTGTTGGTTCTTGCAAGGAAAAGGTGATAGGTCAAAAGTGACCTTCTGGAATGAGATGTGTACGAGTGGTTTGGCCTGGATTACGCATTCCTTTTGATCGAAGTTTGAGAGGTTTTTCTGAGAGATTTTCCACCTTTCGCCTTTCGCGTGAGATATACTTCATCAAATTATAATCGAATCCCGGAAATGGGGTCAACTATTGGGTTGGCATAAGTAATGGCTCTCTTTTATACTCGTAATTTGCGCTAGACTTGAAAAGTTTTGCTATTATGTTGCGTACCCTTTTGCAGAGAATTTCTTGCCCCATAAAATGGTTTTTTTTTTAAAGATTCTGTTTGCATCACTCTTGAAGTGCTCAAGTCGGAGTGTCAGCTCGACCACATTGAACATTTTCGACAACTTCTCTTTTTACATCTAAGTCAAAAGGTGAAACCGCACAGGCCTTTTTGATAGATATATGTCCGAGAATCTAAGTCTCGTAGAAATGCTTATAACGGTACAAGCGACTCAGGATTTTGATTTTAAACTTATGGGCATGCATCGAAACTAATGCCCTACTGAGTCCAACTAAGGGCTTCGAGATCGAGGGATCAGCTTATTCGAGATCCATGTCAAAGAATGGGCAGTGTTAGAGGAATGTTTTGAACCTCTCCCATCGATTGAGGGTGATGCTCAATGGTGATGCTTCCACATCATCATTGAGCATCACCCTCAATCGATGGGAGAGGTTCAAAACATGATGGATGGTTCTGCAGGCAGTCCGTCCACAGGAGGACGCCCCGTGCACATTTAAGGTCCACATCTCCACCTCCCAATCGCTTTAACCCACTTCGAGCCGTCATAAGAAGCATCCTTTCCTGGTCACATATATCACAAGTATTGAGCTTCTTCTGTTATTCGAGAGGCTAGATTAGGCGCAAAAAGTTGCTTGTCAGAACTCACATTTTGCGTCGACACCGGCCACTGCCAATTTCAATAAAATAAAAAAAGTCGATAAAGATAAGAAACTGAAGAAAGACAATTATGCTTTATGTAAAGCAGAAAATTTCCTATCAAATGGCATAGACCAGACTGGGAAGAGCTTCTCACTTTTCATATAAAATTTTGTGCAAGAAAAACACCCGTTATGGGCCAACCTAATACATCACCTTCGAGTGCTCCTTCTGGAGCCAGAAATTGTCGATGTTGCTATAATTACTTGATTGCTACTTCAGAACATTATGTCATCGATGGTCTCCCTACCAACTGCGCAACAATACGAGAAATTGGTTGAAAATCATAAGAAGGAAGTTGCTCGGCAAATCGAAGAATCTCGCATGAGGGCTGTAAATGAAACTGTTGGAATTCGTGTATGTTTTTCCAGATACTGCAGATGCGTTGTCTTCATTAGTGTTCTGTACATCTTCAAATTCCGAGTATAGATATTACTGGGGTGGTTAATATTCAGTTTTCGTCTGATAGATATTACTAGGGTTAATATTCAGTTTTCGTCTGATTTTTAGCCCTCCTCGTCGCTTCCATCCGTTGCTCTGAAAGATCGGCCACCACTTAATGCTGTCCGCGAACGCCCAAGAAAGCAGACTGACGATGGATGGACACCACAGCAGACGAAGTTCGTACATTGAATGATTATTTTAACAGTCAATGAAGGGATGGGAAAAATGTCGAAAAGCTATTATTCAGAAAGCCGGCACACTTTTAGTGTACTGGTCTCATTCTTTATCGTCTGAAGTTATTTTTCCCCCTGTAAACCAACAATATTGAGAGTAGTGTCAAAAATGTAGTGTACTGTCATAGTATTACTAATTTGGTTGGGTATTGTGTAGGGGCGAGATTCGCCAATTACCACGTGCACGGTCCCTCGGTCAAACCTCTGCTCGGTTCCAGCCCATGAGTCCGAGCATTTTCTAAGCCGCCGCGGAGCCAGGCAGTTGGTAGCAGACTCGTTGGAGGGGAGGTGGGGGAGGGCAACGCAGTGATGTACGACGGCTGGCTCCCGCAACTCATTGTATGGGCCACAATACATTCAGAGGTCGCTATGATTATTAATTGAAATTGCGTCACATCCCAGAAACTATCGGAAGAGAGTGGCATCTCAGAAAGGAGTTTTCTAAAGTAAAAGCTTTCCTTCGAGCCGTGATTTCGCGTGGTTCTTCCTGGACTGCCACGTTTTGCCGCGGCATATGGTTGGCTTCCTGAGTTGGTCTCGCTTGGCTGATCAAACGAGGGGTAACGCTTGTCTGACCTGAGTGCTCGTTTTGCTTGTACAATCGTCACTGCGCTTCGCAGTCACCCTCCGGGATATTAGTTACTTACTCTCCGGACATTATTTTTGATCACTCACTTCTACTTTTCGGATTAGCTTTCTAAAGAAGGCTCAGTCTGAGAAACCGTAAAAAATACGTAAGCATTTCGAGAAAAATTCTGACCAGTTATCAAACAAACGAACCAATACTAACGACTTTGTCTAGTTCTTTTTTTGCTACGTGTATTCGGAAATGGTAAAGGCTAATGTCGAATTTTAGGAGCTATAATCCATTCATGGAAGAAGAGGACAGATTACATCCTATGTTCGAGCAGAGAGACATAATAAAAGGGTGGGTTTTATTCTTTTGAGTACTTTTTGAGATGATATTAGGAGAAAACTTCTTCGATTGATTGACATGATCTGACTCACGCATGGTCCAGGGGGTTTTTCCGGTTTCAAGCTCATTCATGTCTACCCGGTTCGGAGCTTATTCATGTCAACTTTGCACTTTCTCTCCATGGATTTTCAATCTATTCAATCTTCTAAAGGCGTCACGCGTAAAATGTAAATCTAAAATGCCTCCGCGCATATGATAGTCAGATCTGCAATATCGGAGTAAACCACCTTAGTCATTTAGGTGTGCGATACAACCACGAGAAATGCTTTGGCAGTGTTCAGACTCCGCGACAGCTGCTCTTCGGTCGCGCGTTCGGCGCAACCGATACCAAGGAAGGTACGCGCGTCGAACGCGCTACCGAAGAGCTGCCGTCGCGAAATCTGAACGCTGCCTTACTGAAACTTACCGACTTGCAAACTACCACTTCCTTATTGCCTGCTCGTAGCAAGGCGATTTAATGTGCTTTTCAAGAGGATCAGTGGAGAATCCTACTCTTTTTAATGTGAAATCATAGTACGTGCCTTCAAATCCGCTGTCAAGATAACTATGGTTCTAAATGTAGGTTGTGCTGGATCATTTTAATACAGAACTGTTCAGCAAACGCTACAACGATAGCGAAAAACACCGCATTGGAAGCTCTAGTGCTTGACTAGCTCATGTCATAGCTTGTTTTTGCTCCTACATTTATTCTCAACTTGGTAGTATTCGCTTATGGTACTGCGTTGTTATTGCCAGGCTCGAAAACAAGTCCTATTTCCAGGTACTTAACACAGGCGGCGACAGCGGGCCGTTTGGAAGAAGTGGAGATGTTGGAGCGAAATTTGCGAGACCTTGAAGGCGAGATGCTGAAGATGGGCCTGATATCGCCGACTTGATGCACTCAACGTTATTTTCCTGCAGAAAATTCTCACATCTTCTCAGTGTGATACAACATTCCACATCACTACTATTAATTGCTTTCTTCAATTCTGATTCTAACCACGCATTATAGCCCTTATTTTCAACTCCTGGTCATTGTCTTTCCCTCATATTTCGAGAAATCTCAGCTATGCCTGAAATTATGCGGAGCTTGTTCTCATTTTGCTGTGATTTTGTTAAGCACTTTTTGTTGCGTTTCTTTTACTCGGTGACCAATGTTACAAAGCGAGTAGATGTGCTAGGTAAGGACCCTACTTCACGGCTTGTAGCTACTAGCTCTTGCAGAACGCAAGAAGTTGGGTGCAAGTTTGCCGAATACAGTCGCAGCCCCACAGCTTATCCCTTTCAAACTGACATGCTATGCCTTTCTCTGCAAGTACAAAACAAGCATCTACAGCTCATGCCAATGAATGTGTTCTCCTTATCACAGGTAGTGAAAATTCGATTCTTTGGTGGTAGCATGTATTCCTCTCTAGCTTGCGTCTGTTTTCCCATTTTCCCCCAAGCGAGTACTGTGTAAGTTTGAAAAGGATAGACTGTGGCCTACCCGTGATATATTATAGCCAATGATAATTTTATTTTCGCCTTTTTACTAACTTATTATTTTCTCTGTGCGTGTACTTATAGACCGACTTCAATCGGGTGCATCTAGAAATCTGTCGATATTCGCTTGAAAATTAAAACTCAGCTTGAAAGGTTGCATTTCTATAGAATTAAAAGATTACTGATGTTTTTCATTGCTGCATCAGTGCTAACGCACTCTCTTGCAAGCACCACACGGTAGCCCTTATTTTTACTGAATAAGGCTGCATCATCGCGATGGGTAAAACTACAGAGTTGGTCGACCCCTGAATTTCTCTCCGAGTACCACACCCTCACACAACCTCTCTGTAGTCTTCTAACATTCTTTCAACTGCTTTCAATTAATCAAAACCTTTTTTACCAGTTTCTCGAATAGTTTCCTGTTGAGCAAAAGGGGTTTAGGACTGAGTATACAGTGTGTTCAAAAAGGAAAACAAGCAATTCCGCGGAAAAAATTCGACCGAGACTAGGGACGTTCTCCTCGAGGCCGACATTCTTTCATTTCCGACCTTTCTCTTTCGAACAAATACGATCCTAACACTGCATCCTAAGCACCATATTGGGTTCGCCACACATTGATGTTCATATGTCATGTTGTTTTCACATGATGTGTCCTTATTGGGAAAAAATCCTGGGAAATATGTCAAAATCTTTGCCTTTCTATGAGTCGGTGGCTGATACCCTAATGGAAGCCCATACCGAGACCTTTCACATTTATCGCTGAATCGTTCCACAGCTGCATAGATCTGCCGCAGAAATCCCAGCGCTTCATGTATCCACCCGCACCTGAAGCGCGCTATTTCTGAATGCATCTTTGCAATGCGGCACCAGTACGCGGGGAATAGTTTTTATAATGTTGACTGAGAGTACAGTTATAGCACCCCGTGATAAACATCATCTGCTGCTGCTCATGCGAACGTTTTGTAAACATGTATGCAAGGCATCTGAGAGCACTTCGTCTCGATCGGTTGGGATAGGTGGGGCCCCTAACACGGTAAGAAGAAACATCAAGGCTTTGCAGTTCCAACGGACCGACTTGCTACTTGATTATGCTCTAGTTTGCAGCGGATCAAGCGGGCGGCAGGCAGTATGGAGGGCCACGGGCGCCAAGACCTGTTCTCTGGCCAGTTGTTGAAGCTAGTATGCGACAAGATTTGGTGGAGAAGGAGTGATGCGGACGATATGATACACCTTAGCGCTTGCTAGCGTCAACTACTGGTGGGGACAAGCGGGAAGTGGCGCCCCGCACCAAACTCATCCCAATCCGACGCTCACTGCTTCGTCCACATGCGCTTCCAGACTCTACATCAGTCGTATTAGCAGTTCATGAAGGCGGTGTAAGGCCAGAATAGCTTTCTAGTTGAACTCGCCGCTATCAGCTCTTAATTTATTTCGCTGTTAGCTGCCCTGTTACCGGCCTATAGTAACAACACGTCCCACTCAGCGCCACAACAAGTTGCCACTGTGTTTTCCTTTCATCTCCGATAAGGTCAGTGCTGAAGTACAATGGAGCCTTTCTAGAGCGCGGGGGGGGCGTGTGTTGGGGGGGTGGGGGGGGCCGTTGCAAGATATAGTTCGGCTTACTGATATTCTAACCAACACCAGCAGTGAAGTTGAAACAGGCTCTTCGAGAAGTAGTGGATACTAAAAGAGTGTATCCTTTGTCTGTACGGAAAAATCAGGGACTGCGCACAAACGGGTGTGATCTACCAGACTGGATGTCGGGCTTGCGGATGCACATATAACGGGGAATCAGGAAGGCTGTTCGCTGAACGTATTGAAGGATACAACAACGCTCTGTCGTGATCACCGCGGTTTTCGTTTTCTGGAGCTTGTGCAAGATAGATACTCCTTCATTTGGCTCCTGGCTTTCAAGTGTTCTTCACAACAAAAACGATAAATGAGTCTTTCACCATTCCAGTAAGCATCTGAGTACCGCTACTCTCCCGATTCTGAATGAGACCTGCGCTTACTGACCCCTTCCCTCATCGTATTAGCAACCCCCCGCCATCCAGCGTTGATCTCGCAATCAATGGTGGCCCCTAACTTTGCCTGCAACTGCTAGCACAGGTCAACAAGAGACTGATAACAGCTCCCAGTACTCGGAATATCAGCATCCAATCGCACGAAAGCGCAAGACGTCTGCTTTTGGTTTTACAAAGATTTCATACACTGAAGGAAACATGGCTCTTACTGACAACTGCACAGCACACCGACCTTGCGGTTCGCCATACCGGCGAGTCACATACGTACTCCTTATAAGGTATCCGTGGACGATGCTTGCAACGCTGATTTCTCGTGTCAGAGACAAGGCTCATAATTTGGGGTGAATTCAAAAAGATAATACCTGTCATCATGTAACACTGTGACTCATTTCCAGAAGTAGTGAACCTTTGAATTGTAGGGAACATGTTTTAGTACTGTATTCATGAAGCTGGTTTATGATAGCGACGCTTTTGATATCGGAGAGATCAAATGAGCCGCAGGACGGAGTAAGTCTTATTCGGTTGATTGAGCGGAGAAAGCGGTTGCGTCTGACGTCTTACTTTTCACAGTCTTATCAGGTGAACAGATTTTCTTATGTTGGCGTTTCGTGATTAATCAGCTTTTCAACGAATTGTGTATTGGAATGTTCCTTGAGTGTGAGCCGGGGAGCTGTGTTAGAGGAACGTGTTACCGCGGACAGTCAGACAGTAGTCAGACAACGTTGTAAGTACTGACTAGGCGGTTTCTCTGTCGTGTGCAAACTCTGATCGGGCTCTGTTCGGCGATGGAGAGAGAGGGGGGGCGATTTGGACCTTTGGCAGCTTCACTTGGTTCCGATGTTGCCGTTGTTTTACTATTGAATGAATTCTGTGAAGCACTGTGTATGCTGCAAACAAGCTCATGCCGCCAATGATAAAACTCTGTCAACTTACTCACAAAGGCTCTCTCGATCGGCCAGACACGTTCGTGAAAGGGCAAAATGCAAAACATGCCCTTACACTCCCCCCCCCAGTCGGGGCAACACGTGCCTTTCGATCGTCTATCGTCTGAAGATCTGGTACGCGAGAATGAAGGAGATCACTCAAAATGCATGGCCACCTGCATCGTTCGCGCCGCCCACCGGCCCCCTTGGCCATCGCTTCAGCTGCTAGTCAGGGCTGTTCCAACGGACACATAATAAAATAGACCGTTCTGGCATGATCAATATCTACAGGAATATGGCAACGAAAGTGTTCTTGAGAATCTGTGCTGCGGGAAAAATTGTCGGGAATCGTCATACACTCGCGCTGGAGGCGATGATGATTGCAGGCAGTGGTATGCGCTTCGGATGAAACAAAAATGGCGTAGATGGGTCAATTGTTAATGGGGCGGTTGGTTCAGGGATCGCGCGAGCTATCGTTTTTGGAAAAGCTCAAAACAATGATTGCAGGTGACTAATGATGCCACTAAATTCTCCGTCTCTGTGGATGTTTCGCCTTTCAAACCTGATGAACTACGGGTCCAGTATTAACCGGAGCGGAGCGGTTGATCATCGATAGGAAACCAAAGAGAAACAAGCAGACAACGGGTTACACTTCACGACGTGCAGCGAGCTCTAATACAAGCCGTGATTCTGTTACAAACAGTTGCTGTCCCTAAGCACTGTGGCAGAATCGTGAATCACGGGAATCAGGAGAACCGAAGAATCAAACTAAAGTTAGATACGAATCAAAATGATCTCATTTCCTTCAATTCTTCGATTCTCCAGCGTCGCAGGTATAAATATCGCCACGCTCCCTTGCCGAGATTAAGACGTAGCACACAGTATGTTATGCTGCAACCGTTCCTTCATGATAAATGGCATAAATGGTTCATTCACTGCGGGGACCCTTCCCCTTCAAAATGTTCATCTACTTAGTTAGTTCAAACTGTTTGTCGGTCAGTTGATCCATGTTGCGATGGCGTGGCGGAAATGACGTCGCGAGTGACGGTTAGTGCGTAGGTATCGCTCCGACGCCGGGGAGACGGGCAAGAGAATCGTAATTTGCCGCTTCGCCGCGCGCGGCGATGGGCGCGACAAATTCTTAACTCGTGTTAACCTGTCGACTGGAGCACCGGACTTCATGTAGACACTCATGACTATTTTAGGCTTCTGAATTGCTTGTTGTCGCCATCCTTTACCTGGAACCATCATCATTTGCGAGCGCGACGTCGCACGCGACGCTCACCAGCGCGGCGAATTACGATTCTCTTGTCAATACCCCCGGCGCCGAAAGAGCAAGTGGCACGATAAATCCTCAAGAAGTTTTGGACTAATACGACTAGTAGGAATTCGGCGTTTCTCTGAGCAGGCGCTGCACGGCGCCTTCTCAGAGGACCATAGTACCCTTGTAGCAGCAACATACCGACC